TTTCCCCCTGCTTCCAGTCTTTAGGCTAAGCTAAGTTAACTGCACATGTCTACATGTATGAGAGCGGCTTTGGTTTTCTTATCAAACTCCAGCAAGAAAGCAAATAAGCCAGTGTCCAAAATGCCATACAATTAACTGACACTCTAATAAGCAGTAGAGGCTCATTGAAGTAAGTAAGAAAACATCCAGATGCTTTCAGTGACAGTAGAAAAGTACATGCACAGCCCTGCTTTAATCTAAAATCAATGCACATCTGCACTAAAGTCAAGCTGTTAGAATCAGTTTCAGTCCTGTTGACAAACCTGGTTTGCATGTAATTTGTGCAGTTGTAGTAAAGATTTCATGCAGGAGTAGCTGCAGCTTGAGAGACAGATCTGGATCCCAAACAGCTTTCATGTTCAGTAATTCATGTTTCCACCTGTCCCTCTGTCATGACACAGTGCATTAAGCACTGAGTGCAAGTGCAAAAACATGCTCTCATGTCTACAAAGAGTCAGTGCACAGCAGGTTTTAATTTTCTACTGGGTTGTGCATACCACTTCTTTGCTGGGGTCCGACTGTGCTGCAGGAGATTTGGTTTAAAGTCTCACAGCAACGTCAGCAAAAGAGTTTACGAATATGATGCATTCAGAAACCTTTCCTTGGATCTTTTTCTGCACTTTTTCTGTTAATTTTAAATTATCATTGGACTCAAAGTGACCTTAAGATGAATTTTAAAGTATATTATGCAGTCGCAGATGTTTGCTTGTGATAAATCTGTTAGTTGCCCTGCTCCAGTCAGAATGGCACCTGAGGTTTTCATCTTCTACCTTTCAGTATCTGTGTCCTTTCTAACTCATCTCCCTCTTATTCAAAGTCTCAGTAACCAACTCTCAGCCCCTTCCCCTGACCACACACACTTTTCCTCTCTTTCTTTTATGGAGAATGAAGGGAGCACGAGAGAAGTCGTTGAATAATTCATCAGTGGAAAATGTTGCAGCTGTTTTATCGGCCCTGTTGTTTCCATCTCTGCTGCCGCTCTGTGCCTGTGTGTGCGCTAAAAACGCTCCATTCAGACATATTAATTCTGATTCTGACCCTCTGACATGTTTAACCACTAGCAACACACCAGTCGATTCAGTGCACTCGATTATGCGCTGAGATGAACACTGAGGCAAATCAGCTCATTGTGAGCTGCTGCAAATCTAAATGCACGTTTGCGAACTAAAAGAGCCAGCAGGAAGTGACTGTGAATGGGACATGCTGATGAATCAGCTCTGTGCTGTAGTTGAAAAATGTTCCTTTTATTTGCCTCCTCAATTGTCTCTTTTAGGACACTTTCTAAAAACCTGGTGAAGAGCGCCAAGAGGACCATCGGCCGGCAGTACGTGACAAGGAAAAAGTATTCTCCCCCCACCTGGGAGAACAGGAGCAGCTTCCAGTCGGAGCTTGACGAGGATGAAATCTCAGGTATCATGGTGGAAATAATCTGAAGTCAAATGCAGCCACTGGTTGCATTGATTTATCTGAGACAGTTCAGCTGCATTCGTCCACCGCTAGTTTTACCATTTACACATTCAACTGCTTTCATCTCAAACACTGCAACTGACATGTCCACTGTTTTCTTTGCGCATCAGTTAACTAAGAAGTCATCAGTTTTCAGTGGATTACACGTCTACGTTTAACTCTCTAAACCTCAAACAGTTTGTGGCATTTTTTCTCCTGTCAGGTTTTTTCCTCACTGTGGACTCATTTTTCAGTTTTAGTACTCAGATATGTCTTGTGCAGTAGAACAAAGTTATAATGCAATAAACTATAAACAAGCAAAAGTTTAATTTAGTTAAATGTTTATTTACAATAAATAGAAAAAAGTGTGCCTACAGGTGTACCAATACTGGGAAAAGTAATATCAGTACATACTATACATATTTTACGATTTAATAGTGTTGGTCACAGCTGTCACAGCTTCACAGTTGCACCAAGGAGGGCATCATATTTAGTTTTTTTTTTCACAGAACTTGGTGCAGATTTTTTTTAATGCCATATGTAGAGTACAGTCATTTTAATGAAATATTCTTTTCAGCAGATTAGCACACGGAAGTTGAAAACCTGACTTTCCTGTCTGTATTTACAGTTTCTTGCCGATATATGGTGTCATTTTTAGCAGGTTTTGGAGTTCAAATGGTTAACGTGTACATGATCCAAGTGCTTACACTTGAGATTAAACTTTAGATTCTTTTTAGTAATTGTATTTTGACTGCCACTGAAACTTAGAATTCTTGTTTCAGCATATTTTCCTTGGAAGTTCTGCCTTAGTTTGTGTTTTTAATGTTTTCAGAGCCCTGAGAGTTGGAAATTTTGTATTTAAAAGATCCAACAAAAAACCCCCACAAAAAGTCATATTAGCTCTGGAAATCAAATCCTTTAAAAGTTTTTTTTTTAATGTTGAGCTCTACTGTGTCTCCACAGTGTCAGAGGAGGTGGACCAGAGCACCCTCACCCTCTCCTCTACCATCCGCTCATCAGACAGGCAGACCATGAGCAATGTTGTGGAGCGCGCCTGTTGTCGTGACTACCAGCGTCTAGGTCTGGGCACTCTCAGTAACAGCCTGACACGTTCCAAGAACGAGCCTTTCCGGATATCGACTGTTAACCGTATGTACACCGTTTGCAGGAGGTAAGAAATGACTGGAACACAGCATACACATGTATCAGGACTGAGTCTGAGCCATATATACATGACATACTGCCCAATAATATTTGTGTGTCATAGCTACCCCGGGCTGCTCATCGTCCCTCAAAGCATCCCAGACACGACTATCCAGAGAATCTGCCGCTGCTACCGGCAGAACCGCTTCCCCGTCGTGTGCTGGAGGAATTCACGAACCAAGGCCGTCCTGCTGCGCTCAGCAGGCCTTCATGCTAAGGGGGTGGTGGGCTTCTTCAAGTCCCCCAATGCTCCTACTGCAGGTAGAAATGATTATTTATGTAGGAGAGACAATGTGGCTGTTATTTTCAGGAATTATCCTAGTTTTGTTTGTACACATCTCCTCAATTTTTCACCAGTTCTACATTTTAGTTTCCAAGACTCTTGACTCAGAGACCAGTAGGAGGGAGAGTGAGGTCAGAAGTGATGACAACAAGCTTTTGCTGTGACTTTGCAGTGTCTAAAATTAACATGGAAAGTACATTTGGGCTAATAGAGGGCAATTTTTGTATAAAAAAAATGAAACAAAAGTCAAGAACTGCATTCATTCTCTGCTGTGGCACCATTAAGTTCACCTTTAGGCTTGAAAGAAAATCTGTTTGTTTGCTGAAACGTAAAGTTTTGATGTGCCTTCCCCTCTGTGCAGTGCCCTCCCAGGCAGATTCCACCAGTCTTGAGCAGGAGAAGTACCTGCAGGCCATCATCAGCTCCATGCCTTCTTACAGTGAGAGCAGCGGCAGGAACACACTGAGCGGCTTCACGTCCACACACATGAGCACCTCTGGTGGGTGGACTAGCACACACTGACCTGCATGTCACAGTCAGAGGAGACTCTCTGATCAGTGGCACTGTGGAGTCACACAGCTCATGATTTCTTCTGTCCACAGACTCCTCAGATAAGCTGAGGCAGCCCAAGATCGGAGCTCTGATGAAGCAGGTGATGGGTGCCAAGGATGACGTTCCTGGAACCTTCAGCAGAGGAGGTGAGATAGAGCTGGCGCCTCCATGTTGCTGCTGTTAGCTTTAGGTCATCTGCTGCAGCCCTGGTTTCAAAACAAAACAAGTGGATTCTGTTTTCCACTGTAAAATTTGTCACTGAAACTGGGACTGGACCAGGAGGAGGATGGTGAACCAGTGAATCCATCCCTTGTAGCTCATGTTAGGACCAGTGTGTGTGAATGTGTGAGTGAAACCATCCTCCATTGTGTAGTGTTGTTGGTTAACGGGCGTCTCTGTCATTTGACCTCAGCTCTGGGTCAAAGGGCGAAAGTCATCTCCCTCTCTCAGCCCAAAGTGTCTGGCAAGGCCAGGAACCCTCCTAGAGGTACAGTAGGCCACGCCCCCACACCCCTGCCTCCACTCCTGTCTAACCAATCAGATCTGTTTAACAGTAGCATCCGTGTGTTTGGTGTCCTCCGTGGTTGTATCTCTGCGGACTAATGATTTGTTACTGCTTGTGTTGATCAGTGTGTGCATGCTGCTGCTGCAGCTCTGCTGTCTGACGTCCTGTTTGTTGTTTGCTGTCTGATTCTTTTCTCTGGTGAATGTTAACAGCAATCAGAGTCTCTTCATAATGTAGCTGTTTTTCAGGTAGATGTAGTAACCTGGACTGGGTAGTTTTCAGTCATTCCTGCCTTGTTTACCAGCATGGCTGTCAGTAGCTGTGGATGTTGTATATTTAAGGATTACAGCTTGTGTGGTAACAAACTGATATGTTTCCTTAATGGCCATTTAACGCAAGAAGAACTTCAGCATGAGGTCTGTTGATTCAGTGGTGATGTTGTGGTTAGTTTCAAGACTCTACTTATGTGTGTATGTGTTGCAGGTAAATGGGGCAGTATCCGAGGCAGCGGGCGTCTAAGTGCCTACAACCCAGACGTGGGGACACGTCTGGCCGGGAAAGAGTCTCCGCAGCCCAACGGAGGGCCAAGTGAGGCGCTGTTCCTCCGGCAGCAGAAGGCCTACCTCTACATCATCGGGGACAAGGCCCAGCTCAAGGTGACCAAGGACACGCCACAGAACGTCATGTTTAGTTAGTCCACCGTTGTTTTTTCAGGAAATCTTACTGAGTTCAAAATCTCTTTTTGCAAGATAGAAATGACAAGAAACACAAAATCAAAATTCATGTCTTTAATAAAATAAACCATCACACAGATTAGTGGCAGGTATAACAAACATGACCCAGTAAATCTCTGATGTCGTTCAGGGAAGCTGCATTGCATCTCGTTTGATTAATATGATGCAAAGTAATGGTCTGTTTCAGCTAACAGTTGGTATGAGGAACTGTCTCTTGTGATCTGGTGTTGTGATTATTAATCAGCTAAGAGTATCAGTATCTTGGCAGCTTAGGTAGCAAGGCCATTTCAAGTATGGTCACTGTGATCAACACTAAAGGGCCTATATAGTGAAAATCCATTTTATTGTGCTGTTACTAACTTGAAGGTGTATAGTAAAAGCTGTTAATATGTGAAAATTAGGGGTGAACAATACATGTATCTGTATTGAACCGTTCGATACAGTGGTCTCGGTTCGGTACGCCCTATTCTCCTTCTGACGAAGCGTTCTGTGCTGCATTGTCGAGCACAGATCCAGTGAGTGCGCGCATCTCCCACACTCATTCACTCCAAGCTGCTGAGACAGAGGCTGCATGCAAGGCTAGCTCATTGCAACATGGCTCATGCTTTAACTGAAGTCAAAGATCCTCCACCATCTTTCAGATCTCTGGAACTACTTTGGTTTTCGTGTTAAGTATGACCCTGATGGAAAGCGTGTCGTGGACATAATACAACAGTATGTCGCAAGTGTAACACGATGCTAAACTACATCGGTGGAAATACAACAAACATGAACATGCATTTACGCCGACATCACCCTGGTGTGAAAACAAGTGGAACTAGACAAAAACAACAAGCAGCACACATGGTACAAACTACACCCGCGTCATTTAGACAGCCATTAGCACTCCAGAAGATGAGTAAGCTGTAGCTCCATCAGAGAGTGGTTTATTTTTTAAGGAGCTGTTTTTGTTTAACATGCTGCTGAGAATACACCCCAGAAGATGGACATCATATAGCTTTATTTTTTAAGGAGCAATTTATTTGTATTATATACTCTGCTGCTAAGAATGCACTACAGAAGATAGGCAATTACTCCATCAGATACACTTATTTTTTTATTATTATTTTTATATGGTGTTGTTTATGTTTTATATGGTGCTATACTTAGCAGCAGAACATGTTTCAGAGCTGCACCAGATACATTTAATTTTTCAAAAACAAGTTTAAAAAAAGGCGAGGAAGTTTCTCTTTATTTGCATCGAAAAAGTATCGAACCAAACCGAACCGTCATTTTTGTGTATGGTTGCACCCCTAATGAAAATGTCTACTCACCACAAACAGTCAGTCTGTCAGCTTTACAAGCCAGTTAGACAACAAAAGGAAGGTTGTGGGGACACAAGATGGGACATTAATAAAAAGTACGAGTAGGTCAGAAACAAAAGAACAAAATGTTTGAAGAAAGCAAATCTGTTTGACATGAACTGTGATCTTGTTTAGGGAGGGAAGCAGGACTCGTTCCAGCAGTGGGAGGTGGTCCCCATCGAGGTATGTGACGTTCGGCAGGTGAAGAACAGCTTCAAGAAGCTGATGAAGGCCTGCGTGCCGAGCTCTCCAACCTCTGACCCCAACATGAGCTTTCTGCGTTGCCTGGAGGACTCCGAGTGGATGGCTTTGGTCAGTACATCACTGTGTATGTTTGTGCAGGAGTGTGTGCACTCAGTTGCTCTTTGTGCTAACTTTGTGTACACATGTACATCCAGCTGCACAGGGTGCTGCAGGTGTCCGTCCTGGTGGTGGAGCTTCTGGACACGGGCTCATCAGTCATGGTCAGCCTGGAGGACGGCTGGGACGTCACTACACAGGTACGACTTCGGCCACAAACATCAGCTGAATCTACAGACACATGAAGGATTTACCCCTTTCATTTTATTAGTGTAGATTCTGAAGGTGAAGTGAACATGAAGCTTTGTGTGTGCAGGTGGTGTCCCTGGTGCAGCTGCTGTCTGATCCCTACTACAGAACCTTTGACGGTTTCCGACTGCTGGTGGAGAAGGAGTGGCTGTCGTTTGGGCACAGGTTCAGCCACCGTGGAGCGCAGACTCTGGGCAGCCAGAGCAGTGGCTTCACCCCCGTCTTCCTGCAGTTCCTGGACTGTGTTCACCAGGTAGGGCTGCTGCACTGTATGCAATCTTTATATATATATATA